CGATTTAGACACGTACTCACTCTATTGATACGTAGCCAAAACGATCCCTTGAAAAAAACTGCGGATAACAACTTACGGATGATAATGATCATACGATAAATAAATCTAAAGCCTCATTAAAAACTTCAAATACAATAAACAAAAATATAGCGTTATATTAAAAAAGTCGTCTGTAAAATAAAGAAATAAATTCTTATTAAGACAAGCGGAAACTAGAATAGCTCCATCTATTGTTATTAAGATTGTTCTTAATGATGCACTTTTATAAGAGTTGACCAAACGTCTGACTTCTTATTCGCCTCTTTGTTCTAAGTATTGTCTCTGACTTACTTAAGAAAACTTTAAAAAAATTTAAATTATCGTTATTACAATTTTACAAATAAATAATACTTTAAAAAAATCTAACAAAGTACGATTTTATAGAAAATGCAACTAAAAAATAGAAAATAAATTTTAATCAATTTTAATTAAAAATAGTGTAAGAAAAAATTATTTTATTGTAAAAAAGCGTGCCAAATTTCGAGTTAATCCGACGTTTTGAAGGTAGTCAAAATCCTGTTCAAAGATTCCGTTAGAAACATACATACATACGTCTGAAGCTAATAAAAGCGTATTAAAAAGAAGTACTTTCATTCTCTATCTATCTATCTATCTCTTAGGTTTATGGCGTTTCCTTTTAGATTTCGCCAATGTCAAGTGTATTTAATACTCTGCTTTCTATAGCGGGCTTCGTGAACGAGCAAGGTCACAGATATTCACTAAGAATTAAATTCTCTAATGTCGGCATTACGGGATAATGTCAATGAGATAACTGTCATTGACGAATGTCAGTTTATTACTGCCATATATACACTACAAATCCAATGTATTTTTTTTATGTGTGTTACCTCCAAGCATTCTGTAAGTAAACCGATTTTAACATTTTTTTTCAAGCCGACGCTTCACACGAGTTTCCATTTAAAAATTTATCACAAGATCTGACCAGTAGTTTTTAAGCTATCCTTCCTAATGCATATTGACTTTGATTACATTATTGATATTCTGGTTATCTAGTATTTAAGGGGAGTTTCTTTATTGTTCAAAATTAGTATTATTAATGGTCAAGAACAGTTTTTTTTAAAAATAATTTATGCGTATTTAATATACATGCGTTATGTGCTAAATTTTTCGCAACCTTCCACTGCATAGTTTATTGCATTAAATCAGAGATTCAGAAATTGTAACTTTACGTAATTACTGGATGTAGGGAATATTGTGAGCCCCCGCAAGAGTATGTACCGCCATTAGAGCCTATTGTGATTCCTGGAGTTAATATTCCGAGCGGTATTCCGTATTAGATTAATTAACAAGGTCTGATCAGCTTGAACGGTATCTATCCGTCTCTGTCTACTTCATCATCATTCTTTCCTATTACCCTCTGCTGGGGTGTAGGGCTCGAATCAAATTTTTCCACTTATATCGGTCTTGGGCAGTCTGTTCTAGCTCCTCCCGCGTCATGCCCAAGACCCCTAGCTCCTGCTCCACCGAGCGACGCCAAGTTGTTCTGGGGCGGCCTCTCTTCCTTTTGCCAGACACTTTCCAGGGCAGTGCTCTCTTTGATAGGTGGGTATCGGGCTTACTCAAAGTGTGGCCAATCCAATGCCACTTCTCTGTCTACTTATGTAAAGGAAATCTTTGGAAGCAATTTTCACCGACTTTAAGACGTTTAGTTAACTGAAACATTTGCACTCGATACATGACAGTGCAGATAGCTAGCTATAAATAGCCGATGACGATGCAAATGTTTCTACTCCGTTCTACAATGTAACATACATTGCCAAAATAAATAAATATAATTTTTTCGGCTTATTATTAAAGCGCGTATTTTAATCAATATTTTTAATTAGAATAACACTCAATCCGTGCAAGTCCCTCACTTGAAGTATTCAGGAAGGCATTAAAGGAGCACTATCTATTAATTTAGTATTACTTATATGTATTTATTTTATGTATTTCATTATATATGTATGTGTATGTATATGTTTATGTTATTTATATGTGTAATTGTGTATGTATATAGTCTGATATATTATGTATTAGTTTTTATTTTTATTATTGTTATTGTTATTGTCTATTGTATCAATAATTAAATTAATTAGATTGTACTCATCTACCCACTCATGCAAAGCTTTCCTTCTTTAAGAACGGTTAGCTAGTAGATAACTCAATTGTTGAGTTAAGCTCGCCATTTTTTATATCTTATCGCAATTACTGTGTTATATTATAACTGTGTGTACAAATAAAGAATAAAATTTAATAATAATAAATCCAATTGGCGTCTAAGTCTTGAGAGAGCAACGCGGCACTTCACTCTCGGATATGCTCTGTAAGTCAAAGGTCTGGCAACATGTGGAATATTCTTATCTTTGGACTGGATATCCTAAACGAAAGCTACTTGTAATTATTTTTTACATATATCGAGCTCACAGCCCAACCGGTTTGAAATATGTATAGGGTTTTTCATTCAGTAGGGACGCTCGAACTTTGACAGCTCATAGCAGCCATCGTGGTCAAGCAATAGCTATCAAATTTGGCATTAACACATATTTAATCGTAACATTACACCATGGAAAGCTACACGCTTGTCTGGCGGTATCGTTGGCCCTTATTTCTTCGAAGATGCGCCAGAAGCCGCGCTCAATGTCAATGGCGACCGATATCGATGATAACAAACTTTTTGTGGCCTAGAATAGATGGTATGGATCTCACAACATGTGGTTGTGGTGTCATACGAGGTCTTACGCGTCCCGTAGCGCAGGAATGGAAAGAATAAAAAAATTAGTGCCGCTGTCAACGTGCTAGACCGCGATCACTACAATTACTATACTTACTATTTAACTCATCTGTAATACGTCAAATGAGAAAGGGGACATATCGCTTAAATATTTTTCGATTTCTCTTATGTGTCGTATGCTGGCCGGGGAGGGCTAAGGATTATTTTGAAATCACCGTGCTTCAAATTGGGATACCAGCTCTCGATTTCCCGAGCGCTTTAAGAAATATTATCTTCAAAGCTAAAATAGAATCAATGTATGACAGCTTACGACCAGAGAGCGGACGTAATTATACTGAACGAGAGGTCCCGCAGTAGTCGAAATTCGACTATAATTAATTGGAATTGTAAGTGTGTACACTATTATTATTGTATTTTATACTTCTATAATCACAAATTTCGCCAAGACTACACTATAAAACAAAGACAAACAATACTTAATCTATTCTCAATTTGACAACAGACGTCAAGAACAAAAGTTTGACAATAAATAGTAAGCATGCGTGTGTGCGTCAAATACATGGTATGTAGTGTGTGTAATGTTTTCTTTATTGATTTAATGTATCTTTTATGCATTATTTATAAAAAATATTAGCATTGTGCACTTCTTCTCTATATTCTCTATAAGTGTGGAAAATTTCATACTCCTCCGTCCGCGCAATTTTCGTAAAAAGGGATACAAAGTTTTTTCTTCACGTATTAATATATAGATTGTAAAACTAACATTGTACTATGTAACATATTTACGAAAAATACAATACACTTAATGACATGAAAGGATCGTGAATCTCACTCGATTTTAGGCAATTAATCGATACTTTAAGGAGATTCAATCCTATTGAATATTTAAATCTGTAATACCTTCGTCGAAGGCAATTTCGTAAATTACAACTAAGACCTTGTGTTCTCGAATTAATTCGGGGTATTAATCGAACGGGTGCTGTTTTAATGTTTGTTTTTGTTTGACGGTGCTTTGTTTGTTTAAGATTTTGTGATTTAGGGAATTTCTTACTATTATCGATATTATAATTCATCTGATTCTTACGACTATTAAGAATTTTGTTGTATCCTCTATCTATATACTAGTACGTGAAGCAAAAACTTTGTACCCCTTTTTACGAAAATTGCGCGGACGGAGGAGCATGAAATATCTCACACTCATAGACAATATAGAGAAGGAATGCAAAATGCTAAAATTTTTTTAATTATGTATAAAAATCGGCACGACATGAAAACCCTCTTGTCGTGGCCGCCGGGAATTACATACCCGATCCTGTAGGCCGAATGGTAAATAAATGACGTGGCCCAAAACACGTCATTACGGATCCTCCTGATCCATTAACGGTGCTTTTAGGGACTACAAGCACCGGTCACCGTCCTCGTCGAACCCGTCGCTTGCGACGAAGGGCTCAACGAGCGAATTAACCTATAGACACAGCCCACTGAGTTTTTCGCTGGATCTTCTCAGTGGGTCGCGTTTCCGATCCGGTGGTAGATTCTGCAAAGCACTCCTCTAGCTAAGGCCAGTGTTAACAACACTCTGGTTTGCGCCCCGTGAGCTCACCTACATGTTAGGGCGAAGCTGAAATATCGTCTCAAGGCTATCAGCATAGGTAGGAGAAAAAAAAAGGTAGAAGGAAGGACATTTTCCTCACAAAACCATTCTTTCATTCTTCCATTTCAATTTCGCGCTAAACGTTCTGAACTCTTTACAGTTCTCAGGAGTTCATGGAGCATAATTTTTCAGCAACGTTAATTACCACGAAATCTCCAAGTATTAAATGTAGTAGGTATAATACTCGTAGTATTGCATACTTTAGAACTTGTATCCAGAACCAGAGTTTAATTGTCAAAGTAATTTCAATCATATATACGGATGCAAGTTTTTTTTTNTGAACTCTTTACAGTTCTCAGGAGTTCATGGAGCATAATTTTTCAGCAACGTTAATTACCACGAAATCTCCAAGTATTAAATGTAGTAGGTATAATACTCGTAGTATTGCATACTTTAGAACTTGTATCCAGAACCAGAGTTTAATTGTCAAAGTAATTTCAATCATATATACGGATGCAAGTTTTTTTTTATTTATTTAAGCTAGCAATTCACTAGCTGCCAAGATAATTAACGTTTTGTTTACTAACTAATCACATAAAATTTAAATAGGTCACTTTTTCGACAAAAACTTACCTCATTATCCTTGTCAGCATCTTTAATGTGTTGAGCGATGAATCTCACACTCTTTAGGGCAGCAGCGACTTCAGGCGACAAATGGCGAGGCAGCATATTCTCAGATTCGGTTACTGGTGAACAAATATTTTGGCGAGGATATGTCATGTGAGGTCTTTAAGGAGTATTCCAGTTCAACTGATAAAAAAACCGGTACTACAATTCAAATGAGACAACATCTTGAGATGCTGATGCAGGATTTTGCTTATACCCATAGACGTATACCAGATCGCCAAGTCGAATGTTGATCTGGCTTCGAAGGCAAAACAAATTAAATTGGAAGGCTACAAATAAAAAGTAAATCTTAGATTTGCACTCGGCGCTCGCAAGAACATAAAATACCTGAAGGTCTCTGGTGAGCGCTGGCTCCCATCATGTCGTCTTCAGGAGCAGGGGACTTGCGGTAATCTCCGTTGTCACATTTCGAATCTCCGAAAGCGTCAGTCAAACTATCTCGACTGTTCAAAAAATTTATATTAATTCCACCATTGTCAGCATACATAAATTTTCAGTTCCAAGGCTTGGACAGATTTTCTATAATGTAATTGGCAATTAACCCTCATGTCTGAAGACAACATTCACGTTATGATATCTATGAAATCCACTTTCACTTAACCCCAGTATTGTTTCTCCCCTCCTTCCAAATTTCATTAATTACTTAATAAACTTTACTTTCCTGCGTATACTCTAGTTACACAGTCGCGTTACTCAAATACACATTTCAATTCGCAAAGTAACATCTTAAATTTTCATTTCCATAATTTCACTTGTAATCTGAAACTTTGTTTTACGGCCAAACATTAAAAAGCATTAAATGGAAGCGTTAAATGCCTAAAGCCTGTTAAGCCCCGGGATTGTGCTTTACTTAGCCATAACTTTAACTTAATGAAACTTAATACTGTTGTTATAGACTTTCGCGAGACATTAAAAGTAAGTAATCAGTACTTTATGAAAGTCAAGGTTAGATGAAAAGATGCTACGTTGGAAATAATGATTAGATTGCTTCCTTCATTGGCTTACGTTGGAAGATCAGTGTTCACAACGCTAACGGACTGACTACCTTGGCAACATAAAATACATGTTATAATATAAAATATGATTTAAAAAAAAGGTTTTGTTTTTGGTTTTTCGTTACAATCTTCGATAAATTGTTTTTTTTTGTGTTCGTCGAACCGAATAAGTCTATAAAAAAGAGAGAGAAAAAAAGAGAAGATTCCAATCTCCAGCCTACGCGGTATTTCCTTGATGTAGACTGGAGTGGACGCTTAGATGGAAGAGCAATGCAGATGTTTAAGGGATTGAATTCCAAAAGTGGCGTGATGACCCGTTCATTCAACTCCGACCAAAAGAAGACCGAAGCCACAATCGCATCACAATGTCAATATGAGACATTTGCTCACCTCATTTCTAATTCGTTGGTGTATCCATTAGATACGAACGTGTCATCGTAGTCTGGAAGCGAGTACTTCGTCCTCCTCATCATCAAGAGTTTGGGCATCAGCTGAAGAAATAACTTCTTCATCCACGGCGACATTGTGTGCGTTGACGGAGACCTAGAGAGAATAATTTGTAAAATTTTTCATCTTTAATTTCTATTTTTTTTCCTGCCTAATCTGATAGCCTTGAGAGGCTATTTCAGCGTAACCTTAGCTAGTAGGTGAGCTCACGGGGCTCAAACCGGAGTGATGCTAAGCACTGACCCTAGCAAGAGCAGTGCTTCGCAGAATCTACCACCGGATCGGAAACGCGACCCACTGAGACGATCCGGCGAGAAACTCAGTGGGCTGTGTCTGTGGGTTAATTCACTCGTCGAGCCCTTCGTCGGGTTCGATGAGGACGCTGTTAATTCAAAATATGATCTTATTTAACGAGTTAGTCATCCATGTAAACTTTTCCTAAAATAACAAAAGCTGTTCAAAGTAACAAGTAAATGCGGAAAGGCGAATCGCCAACGTCCGAGGTACTTCGATGACGTCATGACATCATGCATAACCGCCCGGTGTATCTTTGTCAAGCTATAAGACTATGTTGGTATTCAAATCTTGCAGACATAAATCTTTTTTTTTAAATTAAAAACATACTTAGCACTTGTTCATGACTGACTTTCATGATGATAGAGAATGCCGTGTAATAAACATCAAACTTGCAAAATTGATTTGAAATCATCGTGGCCTAAAGGATAAGACGTCCGGTGCATTCGTGTTGAGCGATGCACCGGTGTTCGAATCCCAGGCGGGTACCAATTTTTCTAATGAAATACGTACTAAACAAATGTTCATGATTGAATTCCACGGTGAAGAGATAACATCGTGTAATAAAAATAAAACCTGCAGAATTATAATTTGCGTAATTACTGGTGGTAGGACATCATGTGAGTCCGCGCGGGTAGGTACCACCACCCTGCCTATTTCTGCCGTGAAGCTGTAATGCGTTTCAGTTTGAAGGGTGGGGTAGCTGTTGTTATTATACTTGAGACCTTAGAACTTATATATAGGCTTCAGTAACCACTTAACACCAGGTGAGATGTGAGCTCGTCCACGTTTTTATATTATTTATTGGCCTGAATTCTATTCCCTTAGTCAACTCTCAATAATTACATACTTTTTTCTACGAATATATAAAATCTGAATTGTAGTGAAATGAAACGAAGTCTAATTTATTTGAAGAATGATAATGAAGGAATAAAATAATAATTAAAACTATGCTATTGATTAATCTCTAGTTTATTAGCATATTATTAAGTCCAACATAACCGTTTACGTGTTTGAGAGATACGATATAATGTATTAAAATAAGGTTCATAAAAATGTTGGGTATTTATTATCATTGAACTTTTTGGAAGAATCCGAGAAACCACGTATGGCAATGGTATTTAACTTTCGTAGTCTCACAGTTGAGCACTATTACATTTCTGAGCTCGAAGAAGTATTAGATTGACAAAACAAAAAACTTCGCGTATGTAAATAATCTTCCCGCGTTCCCGCCAAAAAATCAAACCAATGTCCAATAAAACGCGAGTGTTGCTATAAATATGTAATACAAGAAATGATTTTTTTTTAAGCTATTGCATAGATTTCATCGCGGAATCGTGAAATTCCGTAACGAAAAAAACCTTCCACCCCTCACTACGCCTACTATGTAGCTCGCGTTCAACACATTCACACGTTGCGCTTGTGTAGTTTTTAAAGTAAGAAGTCTAAACACCGATTTATGTACTATCAAAATATGTGATATAATTTCGTGGGTAACACAACGATAGCGCGATCCAACTTTTGCGTCAAGCGCTTTACCGCGGCAGTCTGCGAGTGCCACACGTCTTCTTTTTTTTAATTCGAAACATGAATTTAGCTGACTTAACCTAATAGGTGTATTTCTCTAATAAATCTAGAAAAAAAATGAATATCGTAATCCTTTTTAATTTTATATTATTATGTGCCGTGATAAAACTCTTAATCTTTTGAATTCTCAGAGTAATATAATAAATACGTCTTGTTCAGAACCGCAACGGGTCGGCATTGCATCCAGCATTGTTGGCGGTATAAGCGATCGTTTTATGGAAATATAGGCGGGAAGAGCATAAATCTATTTCGTCTATTGTGTGTTGTCGACGCGATAACGCTCCGAGTATGTAGTAGGTGAATTATTTACTGCTTTAAATTAAACCCACCAGATGCAACCCAATGTTGTACGCAGGCTTTCGCTTTAGTTCATATATCAGTATCAATTGAAACGTATTATTGCATCTAGGGGAGGAAGAGGTAGACCTAAGAAGAAATGGATGGATTGCGTGAAAGACAATATGAGTAAGAGGGGAGTGAGCGAAGAAATTGTATATGATAGAAGAGTATAAAAGGAGAAATCATGTTGCGCCGACCCCAAGTGACTGGGAGAAGGGCAGAATAATGATGATATAGCATCTAGGGTGGGTTCACGAAAAAATTTTGAAGTGAAAACTTCTTTAGCATCGTTGTCATTTAAAAGTCGATGAAACGAAAAAGCGACATTAAAAAGAGACAGACACATAAATTCATAAGATATAACGTGGGAGAAGATGAGATAGGTAGCATTATATAGTGTTTCATATATTCGTTGTTCTCTTTGTGCTCTGCTTCGTACCTAATATTCGTAATTAATATATTCTGAGTAAATCTATGTAATATACACGAATAAAATATGAAATAATTAATAAACTTTATAATATCACTATAATCATTACTAAAACTTACAAATATCCTCTTCCCGAAATTTTACATTCGTCTTACATCTTAAAAACAACATTTTTGAAGGTTTTACTTCTACCACATGTGAATTGCACATATGTTTTTTAAGCTATTGCATAGCTTTTATCGCGGCGACCGAATCAAGACATTCCGTAACGGGGAAAAAACCTAACACCCCCACTCCGCCTACTAGCGTTACTAGCTCGCGTTCAACACATTAACATGTTGCGCTTGTGGAGTGTTTGTGAATAAGCGCGTGGCGTGACAACGCACTGCATACGCATCATGAAAAGTCTGCCCATCTCTCTCTCGCGCGGTCTAGCTTATGAGTGCGAAGGAGACAGTTAATGTTTTGCTTTTGTTAATGTTTATAAATATAGCGTGGCTTTATTTTATTATTATTGTTTTAATAATGCTATTCAATAGCTTTACCATGGCAGTCCCCGATTGCCACACGTTTTTTTTTCCTTCATAATGCTTATACGTTTTTACTCAGAATAATGATACCTTATTCATTCGAATAATTCGAATTCCGACATAATCGCATCCTTTCACTATTAACACACCAGACCTCGACGCCGATGTATATACTCTCACTTCAATAAGCCGAGTCCTGATGAAGTACAGTCAGCAACAAAAGCGATTTGTTTCTTCGTCGGCCTCATGCCGCGAAGCAGTCATGTGTTTCGAATTGTAACGTGTGATAACCGTTATAAAATACAATTTATAATTTAATTAATTGTAGGACTTTGACCGCATTTTTCTTACTGTACGCGACAGTCATTCCGTGATGTATATTAATTTCAACTTACAACAACTTAACACCTGATCACCAATTAAGCCCAAAAGTTTTTTTTTAATTTTTTTATTGCTTAGATGAGTGGACGAGCTCACAGCCCACCTGGTGTGAAGTGGTTACTGGTGCCCATAGACATCTACGACATAACTGCGCCACCCACCTTGAGATATAAGTTCTAAGGTCTCAATATAGTTACAACGGCTGCTTCACCCTTCAAACCGAAACGCATTACTGCTTCGCGGCAGAAATAGGCAGGGCGGTGCTACCCACCCGCGCGGACTCACAAGAGGTCCTACCACCAGTACCTACTCGCGCGGACTCACAAGAGGTCCTATCACCAGTAGGTAAAGTTAGCTTAATAAATAATTTCAAATTTAATTCATAAAATACTATTTGTCTAATTAGTTTCGTTCATTGTACTGTAAAAGATGTGTTTTGATATCAATATTTTATCCTATTTTTGTATTTAATCATTTCATTAAAAAAATCCTACCTATTCGATGGTAGCTTAAGAGGCTATTTCCGCTACGCCCAGACGGGTAGGTGAGCTCTCGAGCTCGACCTGAGAGAATCTGCTAACACTAGCCTTAGCAAGAGCAGTGCTTCGCAGAATCTACCACCGGAATCGCGACCCACTGAGAAGATCCGGTGAGAAACACCGCCGTGTCTATGGGTAATACCATAGACGTGCTACCTCCTCACGCTGTCTGCAAGCCGGCGCGCACATAATATATACAGCTTCTACACAACCTTACCTAAAATGCACGTTTAGCACGCAGACAGTCATCCAAACGCTTAGCGACACCAAGATCATTGTGAACAGCAAATATTTTCCTAAAAGTGGTATCGCCAGCGATGTGGGCGGTATTATCTCGGCAAGGAGCAGGAAAAACACCGTCAATGACACCAGGATCGAGATGCTTAATGATATCTACGAGAGAGAAATAAGAAATTTGCTCGCTGCACGACCCGATGCTGCTGCTGGGGGAGGACTTTCGGATGATAACATTAAATTCATCGAGGATCCCGTTTAGATTCGACTATAAAGTTCTGATATTGTATTGTAATTTATTTCGTTCATCACTAGTTGAAGTTCTAATTAAACTAATGAAACAATAGAACAATGCGTCAATTATACATGATTGATTGATCACACCAGAAATTAAACTAAAACCAATTAATTATTGACATTTCATGTACATTAATTGTAACGATATAAATCAATATGTAGGCTATCTACTTTTAAAATAGAGCACTGTTCTATTGACTCATGTTTTTATATTGGAAAGTAAACATCGCGTCTTTGAGATATGTAATGAGTAAGGATGTTAATTTCTGACATCCTCGATGAATAGAGGCTTAATTTGCCCTCAAAAAAAACTTTATGTCCTCAATCCATTCGTGCAGCCCGCGTCGGACAGCGAGCTATGTTATTTACCTGAAATGCACGTTTACTATGCACACAGTGACCAATACGCTGAGCGAGACGAGTATCATGGTGAATAGAAGATATTTCCCGAGCAATGGGATTGCCAGGGATGTTGGCGGGATGATCTCGGCCAAACCGAGGAAGAACACAGTGAGGGACACCAGGATGGAGATGCAGAGCGAAATCTAGGGAAGAGAAGTCTCTTTTGAGTTACTGTCGCTTAGTAGTGTTAGATTTTGTGCACTGGTTTCATTTAAGTACGATGCGTCAAAAAATAATCTTCCGGCTAATACCTTTAATGTTTCCTTAAATTATTCGCTCTCACTCAACAAATATTAATGATATTCACAAATTACGTATACTAGTACATAGTTGTGGGTAGATTTAAAAAAACCAGTACCACAAAAATCCGGCCAATCGTGTCAATTGTCTTTCCACTTATCATAAAGTCGCACGTGTTAGACGCGTTTTAATGCCAATCAGTGTTCATTTGTTCACTACAAAATTTTCCATGCAAGCTATTCATAAATGTGTTAATTCATAAATCGAAATGTGTAGTTATTCATTCTATACATACTGAATTGTATCTACGGTAAAATTTTTGAAAGATATCTCCATTTATTTCGGTCGATGTGTTGAAGGCGTGTATGTACAAAAACAAATCTGTTTCATCTAAAATCTAAGGGACAAGGGAACACAAACTATTTGGTAAAATTTGAAATAGTTTATTTTTTTAAATCCAATTACACGTAATGAAGAATAAGTTGATAGGTTAGTAGAATTCACACACATGCGTAGATTTTTTTAGAGGGTTGATCAAAATATTTATTATAAAATAGTATCAAAACGGGATCATAACGGAAAATACATTGTACATTAAACAGAAGTAAACGTATATAGATGGCATAACAGATTTATTTTCAATCAGTGGAAAGACAATAATAATTTTGATGACTCTAACACAATCACACAGCCAACTAGCATAATCAAAAAAGACTAAGGATGACTCAAAGATGGATCGTGGAGATAAGAAGGATGACTGTCGATCTAATGAGAACATGCCCTGAATATCCCATTCACGATGTTACATCGAAAGCAAATTTATTTTCAGAAAATGTTTTAACATTCTGTCATTTTCACTAAAAACATTAACAATTTCTTTTCAACACTTTCATTGGATCTATAAATATTTAGAGGGTAGATTGTTAAGTTTTATTCATGACAGAACATTGGTCACTTAATGATTCTAGACACTCGTCACTCAGGGAATAAATAATGTAAGTTCACTGACCTTCTCACCCGAATCCGAGGGTAGATAGAAAACTAAGACGGTCAAAAACGTCAAACCCACACAGGGTATAATCAGGTTGACGGTATAGAATAATGTTTTTCTGCGCATCGTCAGTTTGAATGTTATGTCTGAAATTTAAAATTTTGTCAGATTAAGTCAACAAAAAAAGAAACCCAAAACGGCGGTGTATTTATCAACTACATCTAACTTCTTTTTAAACTTGGAACTTGTTTCATTGTTGATCCAAGCAAAGAGACTTTTCTAGATTTCAATGACCAAATGAAATGTGTCCTAAAATAAATAATAGTTAAAAAAAAACTAACAAAATACGCTTTTATAGAAAATCGAACTAAAAATTGAAAATAAATTTTAATAAATTTAATTTAAAAATAGTGTAAGGAAACATGATTTTATTGTAAAAAAAGCGTGGGGTGCATGGTATCAGTAGCTATAAATATTTTATGAACAGACATGAGTAGAATGGTTATTTTGATAATATCCTGAAAAGCACCCCACGCTTTTTTTACAATAAAATCATTTTTTCTTACACTATTTTTAATTCAAATTTATTAAAATTTATTTTCTATTTTTTAGTTGGATTTTCTATAAAAGCGTATTTTGTTCGCGTCTTTAAACTATTATTTATTTTTTAGTTGAATTTCAATTTTTTCAATTATTATTTTTCAACTTTATTTTAATATTGAATTGTCATCGGTTCTCAATAAGTATACTCAATAAGTGTACCAAATTTCGAGTTAATCCAACGTATTGAAGGGGGTCAAAATCATGTTTAAAAAATTCCGTTACATACTAACATACATACGTCTGAAGCTAATCAAAACGTGTTAATATAATTTATTGCTTATAATGAATGTAGTAATTCTCACCAGAAAAAGGCTCGGGGCAACAAGGGTAGTACTCTTCGTTCCTCGTGGCCGGTACTTCAAGTATATCCCACTCGACTGACAAATAAAACTCGCTTAGATCAATACCGACGTGAACTAGACTGCTTCCGGAAGACTGGTCCATATGTTTAAGGTCAACCTGAATATAAAAAAAAATAAGAGGTGAAAATAGTAAAAAAGTAGTGATGGTGGGGCTTATTGTGAACGCATGAGTAGGTACTACTCTACCTACCCTTAAGGTTTCAAGCAGCAGCTTTACTGTAAAAACTGAAACTTAGAACTCATGTCTCAAGGTGGGTGACGGCATTAAGCTATTGATATATTTGGGCTCCGTAAGGCACTTAACACTAAATGGCCTGTGAGCTTCCTCACTTACCTACACAATAAAAACAAAGATCTATCGCTCGACACCGGCAAGGATATACGTTTTGCAAAAATCGTCTTTATCCCAATTCCAGTGAGGCTGTCTTTCTTTTTAGAGGTGGACAGATTTTAAGATCAAATTTCCTTACCAACGGTAATTACGCAACTTAATGGATTAAGTGAATGAATTAAAATACGGCCTCCAAACATATACATATTTGATATATTTACTGCTACCCTCAAAATGGGCTATGACGTCAATAGAGTATGACGACTACACATTAGTATGTTTTTTTTTGCCCTAGTAGATAGACGAGCATACGTCCCACATGATGGTAAGTGGTTACCGTCACCCGCGGACTTCAGCAATGCCAGGAACAGAGCCAAGCCGCTGCCTACCGTTAAGTAGTCTCCACAAGCTTTGTAATTTACTTTATACAAAATAGAAATAAGAATACTAGATACGATTACTAATGATAGAGCGTCTACTGGGGCCGCACGGGTAGGTACCGCCACCATGTTTACTCCAAGCTTAAAGCTGAAGCAGCCCCTATACTATAGAAATGAGACTTAGGACTCATCGGCATTTAAGTTGTTGATGTTGATAAATTTCGGTAACCACTCAATACCAAGTCGTGACCCCGTCCATCCGTCTTCTTCTTGCTTCGGCTTCCTCAATACTGAGGGTCGTGACCACCTCCTCGCAACAAGAGTTTATTACGGACCATTCCACGCCATTTGCCTCTATCTGCCGCCGAGTGTAGAGAACTGTGATGTCGAGGTAGTGCGGATCTGGTCAGTTCAACGTGTCGGGCCTCTACCTCTTGGTCTTCTTCCGTTCACCTTGCCAGTCACCATTAACTTCTCCAATCTGCCGTGATCCTTTCTTACAATCCCGTCTATGCAATAAAAAGGTAGGATTGGCTTCAAATTTCCAAAATTTACCTGAGCTCCATTATAGGTCCAAGAACCAAACTTCATGAAGCATGTTTGTTCATCAAATGGAAAGTATTCGACGTTGATCTCGCAGGACGATTTGTAGATCGCTGGCGGCTTCCAGTTCACTTCGCCGGTGTACTTCAAGGTTGCTTTGGTCATTAAAGTTACCTGAAACAAAATTTGTAATTGATAACTTATTGCTTACTTATTGGTTGCTTATTGCGTTTAGAAAATCGTTCAGTTTCTTGTAAACGAGGAAATTGTACATGAAAATTTCGATGCTCGATAATTTAATGGACGAGTACCTAACTTATAGAAACAGGATTACAATTTCAAATAAACCTTCTTCATTTCATACGATCCAAAAAAAAATTATATTTTTAGGAAATTTGTATATATTTATAAAGCTAACAATGGTTAACGTTCCACATCCAACATGTCCAAGTATTAAATTTCTACTGCGTAATGGATACCAGAAACATTATATATAACACAAGTATAAAAAGATATATGATGGTAAGGCGATGAAAAATGCGTAAAAGACGACATGTGTAAGAGGGGAGTGAGCGAAGAAATGGTATATGATAGAGGAGTATGGAAGGAGAAAACATGTTGCGCCGACCCCTGGTGACTGGGAGAAGGGCAGAAGAATGATGATGATAAAGCGATCGAAATTGATACTCACTTCATAATTACCATCCCAGTTGTTGTAGAGCACGATGTCGGGCAACCAAATGTGCTCCGACGGTACGTACAGCATTTCCACTCCTCCGTAGTCGTCTGGGTTCCATTGCAATTTATAGTCAAACCATTTCTGAAAAACACGACAGCGAAATTACAATAAGTTCGCAGCCCTTCCTCGTTTAAAACATTAACGTTTTTGTTACGTTGCTTACTTGAACAGTGTTTATCAGCTTCATGTTTTCAATTTGAGCATAGAGCTACAAATTTATACATGAATTGGGTAACAAAGAGTTTTGAAAGCCATTGCATAGGTCAACGGGAAAACTAAGCTAATTTGTAGGTTTACCGATATAAATTCCTTGACTGCTTTTTTCAATAAATGTTCTCAAAAAAAATTGTTTTAATATAACCGTGATTTGGACATCATTTCTCAAGGCGGCCTGCTTAACTTAGACTGGATGGGATGATTTCATTTCAACTACAATAAATATCAGCGTCAGAACGCTACTTTGAAAAAGCAGCGCGATACGATAACCCTCATTATTGGGGCCACCGCGTATATTATCTATGGCCACCGTTAGGGCTGTGATAGCAACTCTCTCAGATAGAGTGCGTGAGGTCACCTACCAGTCAATGTGTAGTTGGAATAGCCCTTTAGGCTACTAGTGAAGAGGTAATAATATAAAGAATATAAAACAAAGATAACCAGTTCGTAGCTTTCTTGCCACTCAAATCAGAACGTGACGAATATTTATTCATTGGTGGATTTTGTTTTCTTTACTATATATTAGTATTAATCTAACAGTCTCACCTGCTCCACCCAAAGGTTAGTAGTCATGACCTGATTTTTCAGGTTAACTTCCATCAGCTGCGAAAGCTTCAGCCCAAGCCTCACTGTCAATATGTCACTGACATTAGTGACGGGTCGAATCAACCGATTGTAGTTGCTAAGTAGATCATCGTAAAGGCGTTTTACATCAGGATTCGCTTCGAGCAGTTTAACAGCTGGAAAAATTAAACAGTTTAAGAATATCGTGCCTAATCATCGATCGATGTGTCTAATATTCAATGTCAGATTTTTGTAGGTCAATAGAAAAACCCCTTTTGTCATTTAAAGGGCTATTCATAGCGATGTGATGTTTTGAGTTAATGACACGTACGAGCGTGCATTAGAACACCGTCCGGCGTACCAGGATATTTAAGCAGCGAATAAATAATTCCGGTTTCTTAAGCTAAATAAGTAGTTAGTCCAATGCTATTGAGGATCCCATACATTAATAACGGTAGTACATAATATCTGTGTAGGACCAATGAGACCTTGTCAGACCATCGTCGACAAAAGGCAGTAACATTAAATTGAACCATAAACAGTAACTGTAGTAATCAAAGTTTTAAGATTGCGTAGATGGATGAATGAACTTACGGCCCACCAAATGTTAAGAGGTCACTAACACATCTTGAAAGTAGCGACTAGTTTTAAGACATCAAGTTGAAGATTTAGTTAAATTGTACAGCTTTAATCTGGACCCCGCCCCTTTTAATCGAAACGCCCGACAGCTTCGCGGCAGAATTATGCAGGATCGTGGTAGCCGTGCAGGCTTAGAATACGCTGTATAATACCACTGATAGAAACGAATTGAACCGAATTATAAAAAAAATACCAGTCTTGTTCTTTTTTTTTAGTATTTAACGAGTATTTGGTGGCCTGGAGACCTTTCCAGTTTCACCATTGTCTCATTTTATTGCATTTATAACCACTTATTGTACGAGTGATGTTCCGCAAAAGAAAATTCAACTGCGCCCTACTTTTAAGAGTATGTCACTAATAGATTACGTATATTTAGAGACAAATTAATGTAAAATTCATCCAAAAACTATTTCCCGTTTTATGAGACTGTTGAGATATTATTCCAAATTAAATATTAGCGAATTATAAATAGAAACAGAAGCCAATAGCAATATTGTTATAAAAAAATAGCATTTGGAATGATTTTATGGAATCTTGCTTACCTTCAGTGCCCTTATAAACGACCAAGATCAATAAACAAAGTTTGAAATTCATTTTTTTTTTCAGTTTTAATTACCGAAACATGTTTACACGTATTGCCCACAAAACGTAGGCTATAGAATGAATTTCGTAGTCTCCACAAATCGATACGCTACGCAGACCAAGTACATAAATCTTACAGCGGAATTATTCTGAACTATTCGTTCGTTTGTGTGCCGATAGATGGCGCTGTTATAAAATTATAATAAAACCAAATTTTCTCATTATTCATTTTATTTTAGAATACAAATTTAACATACAAAATGACATTTGCTCGTCGGGTCGAAATTTAGGACCGTTGTTGTGGGTGACACGCGAGCCACTACAACTAATAAATGAACTTCATTTTATTATATTTTAACAATAGTCATATTATATAGTTTTAAAATATAATTAAGCTAAGTTTCACACGCATACGGTTTCAATATATCCTTAATCGATAATGCGGTGAACTATATCAATAAGCTATGCTATCCCAAAATCTACAATGGCAAAAATACGAATCAAAAAGTAATACTCGTATGTACTTTGATTATAATGTGGCAAGGGGAATTATGTCAAATAATCAATCAACAATTCACTTCAAGATTAATTACGTCACAATGCTGCTCTTACGGAGCTCTTCTCTTCGATAAAATGTAATGGAATGCAGTACAATACAATGCAATACACAAATTAATTTTCTTCTAAAAGCATATTATTAATATTAGCTATCTAAAACCAAGGCGTCTGAGCCATCAGAAATACCTGCATCTCAAAAAAAAACATCAAATATAGCAACCAGTCGAGCTTTCCACTTAGACTGGAGAAAAAGTAGCCATGGAGTATCAAGGAGAGTTCAAGGTACAGTGAATGCGTAATGACTACATCTTACTATCCTTTTCGCACACCCGCATCACAATAGCGATGACGTCATAAAACAATTTTACCATACTTTCTCATTATTCGACAATTAACCCCACTATCAGATTCTTTGCTTTTCCTGCCATTATAGGTCTTGATTAACATAAAATTAAAATTCCAACCAAAGATATCGAAGGAACGCGATCATTAAATTTAGGAAATAAACAATTTGAACAATTATTTTTTATAATCCAATTTCACTTAGAAATGGAATAGATTCATCCAATAAATTAATGAGCCGACCATCCCATAGTAGCGCCTCTTCGAGTACACGTCGGCTATCTTTCGTTGCTTCGCGTCCATGATGGGATCTTTCTTTTTTTTTGGAATGTCTCGTGGGATTCTTCGTCGTCTGTAACCACAAAATAATTTCCATTTATCAATGTTCAATACACACCGGTGACTTTACAACGCCCCATAGCCATAGCTGCTTTATAAGACGATTTTGGAATTCGCCGCAGTATAGTCTGTGCATTAAACCACCAAATACAGATCATCAGAAAGCATTTAGTGTTTTTAAAGAGCATTATTAGCCGGCACAGGTTTTTTTATATTTTTATTGCTTAAATGGCTGGACGAGCTCACAATCCATCTGGTGTTAAGTGGTTACTGGAGCCCATAGACATCTACAACGTAAATGCCGGTACCTACCTTGAAATTTTAGTTCTAAGGTCAGTATAGTTACAACGGCTGTCCCACCCTTCAAACCGAAATGCATTACTGCCTCACGGCAGAAATAGGCAGGGTGGTGGTACCTACCCGTGCGGACTCATGAGAGGTCCTACCAGCAGTTAAAACGGTTAGTATATTTCTACCACAATGGAGTCATGCGCTCCGATTGATAACCGGGACATTTACATTACAATTACTATGGGCTCCTGTAAACATTTAGCACCATTTATATTATTCTATTTGTTTATCTGGTCATCTACTAGAATCAATCTGAATTTATTACTACATTTCTGCTTAGATATTAAAAAATCAGATCGGGGGATCTATTGTTTTGTAATAAAATAAAGTTAATATTTTTTTATTGAGAGTCAACACATTGCGGCACTGGCTTGACTTCTGTTCTTGTGAAACTACATCTTCTTAACTCGAACCTTTGATTTGAAACTTGGGCATAGGCCACAAGCTGTACGGATAGTAGAAAGTGTTGGGAACCCTCCGGACGATTATTACTTTCTCCTGCACCATTTTCAGTTCTGAAATCAAAAGCAAAGAATCTTACTTTTATAAGTCTTCTAAATATTTGTTTTCATATCAGCGGGACCGCGTTGCGCAATAAATACCGCCATCCTGGGGCTATTTCTGACGCGGAGCAGTCTTACGTCCAGCTATGAATGGCGGAATAGCAGTAAACCCTATTGGATTAACTCCTAAAACTTCAACCTCGGGAACAACGGTACTCGAAATATGAATGGTACAAAAGATCTGACGGAAAATACTAATTTAACAAAACGAAAATAATACTACGCGTTTTACTTTACTAAATAGCTTAATATTATATTATACTAGCTGACCCGGCAAACGTTGTTTTGCCATATATAAGATTTCTAGGGAATTTCTAGTGTAGAAAAAAAAAACTAACTTATTGTAAGTGTGTAAGGATGTGGTAAATGAGTGAAAGAGGCATGTAACGCTGTGAACGATTAGGGAGTATAAAAATAACAAAACCTCATTCAACCACACACCTAGGTAATGCCTCAGTATAACAAAAAAAAAGTCCAAAAATAAAAATAAATATTAGGGGTAGACAACCCTTATCACTTAGGGGTATGAAAAATATATAGTAGCCGATTCTCAGACCTACTGAACATGCATATAAAATTTCATAAAAATCGGTCAAACCGTTTCAGAGGAGTATGGTAACTAACATTGTGATATGAGAATTTTATATAAATAAGATATAAAATTCTCGTGTCACGGTGTGCGTGATTGAACTCCTCCGAAACGGCTCAACCGATTTTCGTGAATCTTAGCGTGCATATCGGTCAGGGTTGAGAACCAAACAACATCTATTTTTCATCCCCCTAAATGTTAATGGTGGTCCACCCCTAAATTTATTTATTTATTCTTTGGACAATTTTTTTGTTTTTATTTTTTTATGATACAGCATACAAAAATACAAATAACCACCCCTCTACGATCAACCCTTATTTTTTATTTGCTAATTAAAAACTTAAATTTTTTGGCAAGTTTTTCATTTTTATTTTTATTTTGTCATGAATTAAAATAAAAAAATCTTATGTTACTCTCAATTTTTCATCCCTCTATGATCAACTCCGATTTTTATTTGTTAATTATAAACTTTAATTTTTTTGGCGATAATTTTTTATTTATTTTGTCATGACTTAAAATAAAAAAAATCATATTACTCTCAATTTTCACTCTTATACGATCAACCCCTATTTTTCCATCCCGATTTAATTTTTTTTATTCTATGCACAGATCCGCAATAAGTTTGCAAGATGGCAATCAAATATATAATATAATATTATTAAATTTAATTATAATTCAGCAGAGCACTGCTTTTGCTAGGGATAACCGTCCGCCAGTTGTTGGAATAATCCGTCAGGGTATCAACGTTTAGGTAGGAAAAAAACACGAATACAACTATAAATGAACTTTACCACTAGTTTTGGTTACAAAACTAAATGAAACAAAATAAAAACAAAAAAACAAATAAAAGGCAGAAATAGGCAGGGTAGTGATACCTACCGATGCGGACTCACAAGAGGTCCTACCACTAGTAATTACGCAAATTATAATTTTGTGGGTTTTATTTTTATTACACGATGTTATTCCTTCACCATGGAAGTCAATCGTGAACATTTGTCAATACGTATTCCATTAGAAAAATTTGTACGCGCCTGCGGGATTCGAACACCGTTGCATCGTTCGAAACGAATGAATGAACCGGACGCCTTATCCTTTAGGCCACGACGACTTCCGACTTATTCGTGTATTTTTATATCTAAGTATCTACATAATCATTATTGTTTTTTCTTACTGCTACCCTACACAAATACTATAATTGTAAATTATTGAAACATTATTTTTAATTCAAACCCAATACGTGTATTTTATGCGTAACAAATTATAATGTTTTTTTTTTCTCATTACTACGCTACAGAAATACAGTTCAGTTCGTTTGTCAAATACAAAAATTGGCACATTCACAAGAGCCCTATTCCCTAGTATAAGTACTTAAACTGCGCGGTAACTATATAATTCGTTCTAAACTAGGAAGCATCGGGACATAATAGCCACATCTTCCTGGTTTCGTATAAGGAAGAGAACTGCCCACAATGTTTGTGTCAATCAAAGGACTGTTAACTGTTTATTAAGACGTGCTACGTGATTCCCGACTATTTGAATAAAGAACAAATATGTCACGTGAGAAGAATTAACAGTATAACAATACAGTTTTTATATTACAGATATGCTACTCTCTCTCTCTCTCTCTCTAATTACACCTATTTCTTTTCTTTTTATTGCACTGGCTGTATTAAATGAATACTGGATCTTAATTTAAATTATTAATTTATTTAAATTTAATATCAAAAAATTTATTTACTATCAAGGTTTGTCTTGAAGATAGAACGCTTGGCTTCGTCGCGATAGAAATAGGCAGAGCGACGATACCTACCCTCACGGGCTCATAATACACCCTACTATTAGCTATTGCGACAAATTTCATAAGTTTTGCAGGTTTTATTCTACTACAAGTCTGTCATTCCTTAAACGTGAGAATTATTCTTGAACACGTGCTCAATTCGATACATATAGCCTATCGTGAACTACTCGATGTAAAATTATACCCCACTTAGATGTCAATAACATTATCAGTACAGGTAATCCTCCTATAACACGGTACTTCTACAATACGATACAATACGTTTGCCTACGTTTGCCGCTAGGGGCGCTGTTCCAACTGCATACAAATTCGAGTTAACTTCTACGCTATCGAAAACGTTAAAAAACTCTCAGTAAGCACAGTGATTGTGAAACTATTAAGTGGTGATATGAAAATCGACTCGGATGCTATGTAACAGACGGCGTGTCACCCACATTGACCGATGAGTCGGGGATCGTTCAATTGCACTTAC